TGTTCTCTCTCATCAATGTTTCTATCTCGCCCTTCCTCCCTTTCTAAAAAAATCAATAAAAACATATTTAAAAAGCAAACAAAAAAAAAATGATGAAAAACACACACAATATATGACATCAAATTGTTTTTAAAAATTACATACAGAAGCCCTGGCCGGTTTGGCTCAGCGGTTGGAGCGTCGGCCTGTGGTACAGAGAGACCCGGGTTCGGTTCCCGCTAAGGGCGCGTACCTCGGTTGCAGTTTGTCCCCGGCCCTGGTTGGTCGTGCGGGTGGCAGCCACTCGATGTGTCCCTTCACATCGATGTTTCTCTCTCTCTCTCTTCCTCTCTCTCCCTCCCGCTCTATCTGAACAAAGAATGGAAAAATGTCCTCGGGTGAGGATAAAAAAGGAAAAAAAAAAAAAAAAAAATTACATACAGAAGACTTAAAATATCAACTACTGGTTTTCTTAAGGTGGCAGTATTACAAATGATTACTTTTTGTTGTATACTTAGCTGCATTTTTCTAATGGGGTACAATGAACATATATTACTTCTGTAATCAGAAAACAACCTTAGTAAGTGTTACTTTAATAAAAAGACAGAAGGAGATAAAGTTTTTCACCATATGAGGTTTAGCCTCAAGATCCTTGAAGTCGGCCTCCTTCACCCCAGACATGGTCTGGTAATAGTCTAGGTTCTGCCGCATCTCCATGTGCTCAGGATTGCCCACGAAGAAGGTGTGCGCTGCTGCTACAGCTTTCTCCAACTTGTTTATCTAAGAATGAAGCACAAGTACATGATTCTCACATCCAAGCCCTGAAGGTTTGTGTCCAAATATGCAGTCCACAGAAAACAGGAAATCTCAGCCTTCCTGAGCCTTCCATTCAGTGTGCCCCACCCCTGTCCGCCCCAGAAAATGCACCTATGGCAGGAACTACATGCCAGAGATTAGAGCACAGGGCCCTGGGAAGACTTCAGTTATTTCCTAAATCAGGCTTAGGGGCTCCCCAAATTACAGGAGGCAATGCTTCAACAGTGTAAACATTCTATTTTAAAACAAAGGTCATTCATCAAACAACAAGTGCTGGTGAGGGTGTGGAGAAAAGGGGACTCTAGTGCACTGCTGGTGGGAATGCATACTGGTGCAGCCACTATGGAAAACACTATGGTGTTTCCTCAAAAAATTAAAAACGGAACTGCCATTTGACCCAGTGATCTCACTTTTTGGGATATATCCTAAGAAGCCTAAAATACCAATCAGGAAGAATATATGCACCCCTATGTTCATAGCAGCACTATTTACAATAGCTAAGATCTGGAAACAGCCCAAGTACCCATCAATGGATGAGTGGATAAAAAAGTTGTGGTACATTTACATAATGGAATACTATGCAGCTGTAAGAAAGAAAGATCTCTTACTCTTTGAGATGACATGGAGGGACCTGGAGAGTATTATGCTGAGTGAAATAAGCCAGTCAGAGAAAGACAAGTACCACATGATCTCACTTATTTATGGAACATCATGAACAAAATAAGCTGATGATCAAAATGGATCCAGAGATATGGAAGTAGGGGGCAGACTAACAAACTTCAGGGGGAAGGGGAAGGGCGGAAGAGATAAACCAAAGAACTTATTTGCATATATGCATAACCAATGGACACAGTCAATAATATGGGGAAGGCAGGAGGGGGTGGGAGTGGGGAGGAGGAGTCATTTAGGGTTAGAGGAGAAAGAACAGTTAACAATTAGACCATGCCTAAGAATTTGCCTAGGAAAAGAAAGTGTTTTTTGCATAAAATAAGTGTTTTGAGACATTAAAGAAAAAGGTGAGTGACTGAAAAATCCTAAGGTCCTATACAGAATCCAGACATGGAATCTTTGGACTCAAAATCCAGGACTCATGAGGTTAAAACAAGTGGCTATACAGATATCTGAGAGGGGAGAATGTACTACCGGCCACAGTAATGTCCATAGCAATGGATTCCAGCATGTCAAAGTTACACAGGTTCATATGTAGCATCCAAAATAAATCACTGATTACTTAATGATTAACTAATGGGCTTTGGTATCAGATAGACTGGTGGTAAATCTAGGTTTAATTACTCACTTGCTGAGGCTTCAGAAAAGTTAAAGTTTACAGATCAGTTCCCTAATCTGACATCTGGAGACAGCACCCACTACCTCATAGCATTATTGTGAAAGTTAAACCAGATAATATATATGCAGCATCTAACACATGGTGCTGGGCACATCATAGGTGCTCAATAAACATAAATCTTATCATATTATTAATATGCTAAATTTTTTTCTTTTCTGATCATTGGTACTAGTAAATGCATACTGAACAAGGAGTTAGCCCTGAGTGTAACTCAAAAATAGCTAAGTGACCCAAGGTTAAGAGTCACCATCTCTATACTTCAGTTTCCTTAATTATAACATCATAAATTCTCTCAAGTCCATTCCTTTTACGGCTTTCTTCTCTCTCCCATCTTTCAGCATTGCTCTTGCTTTTTCTGGTCTCCTCATCTCCTCACTCTTCACTCCACCCCCGGCTGTTCCTTACTCTCTAAGCCTGAGACACCTCGTTTCCTTCTCTCAGGTGAACAACTGCACTCATCTCCTAATGGTTCGCCCTGCCACCACTTTCTCCTTCCAAGGCTTATTCCACATGGCTTCCGGGATTAGCATTCTAAAACCCAATTTGATGATGGCTCCCTGAAGCCTACGGAATTCTCTTCGGACGTCTGGCTCACTCCACCTGGAATGGCCATCCTTGCTCTCCTCCAGCAACATCTAGGATCAACTTAAAATGTCACTTCTTTTTTCAAGTCTCTAATTTCTCTGAGACAAAGATAGATTCTCTCTCCTTTGTGTTCCCACAGTCCTAAGTACATATCCTCATTATACTGATTCTTTTTTTTTTTATCCTCACCCGAGGGCATTTTTTGATATTTTGTTCAGATAGAGTGGGAGGGGGAGAGAGAGAGAGAGAAACATCAACGTGAAAGGGACACATCGAGTGGTTGCCACCCACATGACCCAACCAGGGCCAGGGACAAACTGCAACAGAGGTAGGGGCCCTTAGCGGGAACCGAACCCCGGTCTCTCTGGACCGCAGGTGGACGCTCTAACCGCTGAGCCAAACCGGCCAGGGCTCATTATACTGATTCTTAAAAGCAAAGTAAAACAAACAAACAAAAATATAAAGTCAAGCACTGTACAAGAACTGGAATGTAGTAGGTATTCAATAAACATTTGTGAAAGAATTTTAAGAAGTGCTCTTAAAGTGACACGACCAAAGACAGCCCAATTATCTTGGTTTCAAGCCCAGTACGCTTCTGAGTAATTAGTAGGAATGGAGCAGAACTACGTACACAAAATACTTGAGGAGTGGTGAAAATCTGAGGTCCCCAAGATTTTCTAAGTCTCTCTTTAGGTTGACTTGAAGGTCTGGTAAAATATGGATATACTAGATATGCAACACAGCTCCTTTTTCACCCAATAAAATGGGGCTAATAATACCCACCTTAAAAGATATTGCCAGGATCTGGGCAAATATATTAACAAACGAAAAATACTTAAATCGTGCCTGAAAGTATATGATGGCATCATCATCATTATCATCATCATCATCACCATCATCATCAAGCAGGCCAGGAGCGCTCCAAATCCATGTATACACTTAAGGCACTCTGGAATTCCTAAAATCACTCATTTTCTTTGGAAACCTGACAGACTAGCCAGAGGGTCCCCCACAGGGAGGGGCCAGACAGCCCCTACTGGCGACGTGGCAACCTCCCGTCCTGAAAGAAAGCTGCGGCACTCAGGCAGCAGGAAAAGCATCATTGGAAAGCGAACCGGAAGGAACATAGTGTAGAAAGGTCCTGGCTCCTCTGTCGGACACCTACAGTGAAATCAGGATGAGAGGCCCAAGCTGCCACTTTAGTTCCCTTTAGGAGGCCTCCCATGGAAGCACAGGCCAAGTTTTGCTTGGAGGGTGCCTTAACCCTAGGCTGGCCCTTTGGGGTTACCATCTGATTATGCGAAGAGGGCGAGGCAGGTCTCCCGACAGGGTCCTTGCTCTCCCTGGGTCCGAACAGAGCTCCCGGGCCAAGAGACCACCTTCCTTCTCCGCGGACACTTCCCGGGCCCCCCAAGTCCCCCCGGGTCGCCTTCAACCACGCCCAGAAGGACCCCGGCCACCGGACAGGTCTGCACCTTGAAGTAGGCGACCTGCAGGTAGTTGTAGGGGCTTCGCTTGTGGAACTCCAGCTCCAGCTCCTCGCTGAGTGAGTGGGCGGCCGGCGGCCCCAGGCAGCGGCGCAGACAGGCGGCGCGGTGCAGCAGGCCCCCGAAGAAGCGCAGGTCGTGCAGGGCGGCGGTGCCCGAGCCCCGCATCAGGCTCGGGGGCGAGTCGGGGTCCAGCTCCCACGGGAAGTCAGCGGCACAGCGAGTGCGGCAGCGCAGGCGGAGAGCGCGCAGGGCGGCCCGCGAGCGCAGCGCCCGCTCCATGCTCAGTACAACCCCGGGCCAATCCCCGCGCGCGTAGGCCGCGGTCCCCTCGGCGAACAGCACATCTGGCGCCGACAAGTCCCACTCTGCCTCAGATTTGGCATGGGCTCGGGAAGCAGCGGAGGTGACCGCCAGCAGTGTGGTCAGCAGCTTCAACAAGCGTGCCGCCATCACCTCTTCAAACCTAACAGATTGCTCGCCGCCCGCCACGGAGACCGGAGTCCTACCCCCAGAAAGCCCCGCCCCGCCCCGCCCCGCCCCGCCCCGCCCCCGAGTGAAGCCCCGCCTCCCAAGCTGGGCGCTGCCCGAACAGGAGGCTTGCAAGGGACTCCACCCCTCAGCGGAACCCCGTGCGTCAGCCGAAGCCCCGCCTCCGTGCTCCGGAACCCCGCCTCCGAGCCCCGGGGCCCCGCCTCCGAGCTCCGCAGCTCTGACGCCCAATGGCCAGGGAACACGGAGCTCCGCCCACAGGCCTTTGTGCGCATACTCTTCTGCCGCGGGCCGCCTGGGTGGTGTGGGAAGGTAATGTACAGTCATGGAGGACACTGCGACGCCGGGGAAGACTGAGGGAGTCCTTGAAAACCAAGTTCAGTCGGCGACAGATCGGGGAGGTACGCGGGACGGGAGTCAGAAAGGGAAAAGAGACCCTCACGGGGCAGCTAGTCTGCCGGGCTCTGCGGGAGGCCGAGGGCGGGCGCTCACGGCCTGTGTTCCTGGGTGTGTGTCGCAGGAGCCCTGGTGGAGCTCACCCCGACCCCCGGCGGCCTGGCCCTAGTCAGCCCCTACCACACCCACCGGGCCGGGGACCCCTTAGACCTCGTGGCGCTCGCAGAGCAGGTGCAGAAGGTGAGGAGGCGCGGCTGGGGAAGTAAATAACCACGTTCGTTCACTTTTGGCTCTGCGAATTACGATTCGGACCTCACAGCCATTTAGTGTGGGGTAGCATTTGTTCTTGTCTACATTTTACACACAGGAAAAGGCGATTGTCATTGCGAGTCAGTGACTTGACTCCAACTCTGATCTGAGACCAAAGGCTCCTTCAGCTGCAACTTGAGTGCCCATAATCTCCCTTCGTGGAAAGGTTTGCCCAGCACTGTCATTATTGATTATTTCATTTGGGCCTTAGGACAGTCCTGTGAAGTAGGCAGTACCGAAGGTATTCTCATTTGACACGGGAAGAGAAGTTTCCCGGGAAGTTTCAAGAACACTCTAATGCACATTCTGCAGGGATGCATACTCCACTTAAAACTTTACCATAAGGTCTTTATCTGTGCCCTGAAAGCTTTTAGAACTAAACAGCTGGGAGGGCAAGACTCTAAGTTTGTCCTTTGTCCTCGTTCATTGGACACAATATTGGACAAGCCCAGTGCTTATTGATTGCTAAAAGAAGTAAAATGAGGAATGTGAAATAACAGGAAGAGCATTGGAATTTGGACACATGACTTTTAATTCCACTTTTGATATTAACTTGTACTGTGACTTGAGGCAAATTACTTTTTTTTTTGCATTTATCATCAGATAGAGCAGGAGGGAGAGAGGAAGAGAGAAACATCGACCTGAGAGAGACACATCGAGTGGTTGCCACCCACACGACCCCAACTGGGTCAGGGGACAAACTGCAACCGAGGTACATGCCCTTAGCAGACACTGAACCCGGGGCTCTCTGGTCTGCAAGCCGAGGCTCTATAACCACTGGGCAACAGACCAGGGCTACTTTTCCCTTTTTTTTCAAACAACAAACATTTCAGTTTTCCTGTGTCAGGAATTGGGGAGCAGCTTAGTTGGGTAGTTCTGGCTCATGAGGTTGCAGTGATGTTGGCAGGGCAGTGGTCTCATCTGAAGGACTGACTGGGACTGGAGGATCCACTGTCCAAGATGACAAATTGTAGAACCTCTTCAATTTGTACTGGGCCCTGCTGCTTTAAAGTTTATGATATTACCCTGGTCGAGTGGCTCACTTGGTTGGAGCAAGGTCCCGCACCCCAAAAGGTTTGGGGTTTGACCTCTGGTCAGGGAGTGTTTGGGAGGCAACTGATGGATATTTCTGCCACATCGATGTTTCTCTCTTTCGTCTTTCTAAAATCAATAAAAACATATCCTCAGGTGAGGATTTAAAAACAATAAAATTTATGATATCCACTCATCCTCGTGTACACTATCACACATTGGCTTTGGTTATGTTCAAACATCTTTGTTTAGCTCAAAAGTATTTAATAATTAATGTGCTCAAATTCTCTCACTTATACATCTCTGTACTTCAGGGTTTTTTAAAATTAAGAAATATTCAAATATTTAGGAAGGCTCCTTTGATTCAAACCTTGTGCCTTCTCTTTTATGGAGAGGTGGGGACCAAAGTATAACTTTCATGGATGAGAAGAATGTTATGTGTCTGTTTAATCAAATCACTCTTATTGGGAGGGAGGCTTCCAGGGCCAAATTTTAGGCAAACATTTCATGGGTTACTGAGTAACTATCATGTTTACTACAGTGGCCTGAAACAAAGAAAGAAGGGACAGTTTTTGTTTTTCAGCCTATAATCTAGTGAAATATAGAGAATACATTATTGTGCTGCCTCTATTTCCCCATGTTATCAGTGTTTGAGAAGCTGAAACAGAAACACAGGAGATAATCTAGTTGAATCAATAATATTTGAGTAAACTCCCTGTGTACTGAAATGTACTTTCCAGCAGGACTGACCTCTGACATGCCTTTTACTAATGTGTGTGCAGAAAGCTCTGAAACTTGTAATCAGAATGATCTGTGTTCAAATCTTCAACTGCTGTTTATTAGCTGTGAAACTTTGGACAGGTTGCTTCACTTTTCTGAGTCTAATTCCTAAAATGAGAAAGTGAAGTTATCATATCCAACTTCATAAGGTTTTATGAGAATTAGATCATAATTTATGTGAAGGGCCTCAGCATGATTGGGGCCAGAGTTTGTGCTTAGTAAATTATAGGTGCTCTTGTTTCTGTTTTAATTAGGCTCTTATGTTTACAAGGAACAGATTTGCTGCCACCATCGTAAGAAAAATGAACTACTTTAGTTCTGGAAACCACCTACTCTGTCATTGGCCATAGTGTGTCTCATTGTCCTAGGAACCAAATGAAAATTCTTTTCCTTGGGGCCATGATCTGGTCCCTGCCCTCTCCCCACCCCACACACTAAGTACTCTTCAGCTGTACTGATTTCAGAAATGCCTGGAAGCTGCTCCAGTTTTTTATGTTGCTACCCTTTCCTTGTAATCAAGTGTATGTCACATCCTCAGTGAGGCCTTTTGTCTGCAGAAGGCCATACGCTTCCCCATCTAAATGACAGTATTATTAATGAGTGCCTCTATGCATGTACTCCAATTCCTATAGCCCTTGCCACTCTGTTATTAAACCTGGTACTTAATTTGTTTTCTTTGATCTGCTTTTACCACATAATTATGACTGTTTCCTTCATAATAGTGTATCATTATTCCACGTACGTATAATATCTTTAATTATCTTTCTTTTTGGTGTCTGTATTACTAGGGCTGTGTTGTATAATATGTAGCTGCTAGCTACATAATGGCCGTTAAGCACTTGGAATGTATGGTTAGTGCAACTGAGAAACTGAATTTTAAATTTTATGTAATTTTAATTAGCTTTAATTTAAAAACCTGATAATTATCAGAAACTTTTAAGTATATTTGGAACAATTAGAGTATGTGAATCAACTCAGCTGTAAGTTTTATGAAATATAAATATAGATCAAGCCTTGGCCGGTTATGCTCAGTGGTTAGAGCTTCACCCCACGGACCAGAGGGGCCTGAGTTCAGTTCCCGCTAGGGGCACGTACCTCAGTTGCAGTTTGTCCCCATCCCCGGTTGGGGTCGTGTGGGTGGCAACCAGTTGATGTGTCTCTCTCACATCTATGTTTCTCTCTCTCTCTTCCTCCCTTTTTCCCTCCTGCTCTATCTGAAGATAAATACAAAAATGTCCTCCGGTGAGGATAATAAAATAAAATAAATATAGATCAAGTATTTCCAATGAGAATTTAGCATCCTTATTGATAGGTGCTGTGAGTATAAAATGTACACTTAATATGAATTGTAAAATATCTTATTAATAATTTAAAAAATACTAATTGCATGTTGATAAGGCTTTTGATATATTGGGTTGAGTAAAATATTAGAATTAAGTTTATCTATTTTTACTTCTAGCACAGCAATAAGAAAATTGAAAATTACATATGCAACTTGCTTTATATTCTAAAGGACCATTGCATTAGATCTTAACAAAGGTAGGGACCTCTCTCTCATGTTTGCCAATGCATCCAGTGCCTAGCATGGTGTCTGACACACAGTAGTTACTAAATATATAGTTGACTCAACTTACTCAGTTGTTTCTGTTCACTCATAGCACTGGCATATACCTGACATTTTCTTTAAGCTCCCTCAACTAACCAGCAAATTCTATTACTAGTAGTAGTAGTAGTATTTTGGTTAATCCTCACCTGAGGATATTTTTTCATTGATTTTCTTATGGAAAAGAGGGAGAGGGAGAGAGACAGAGAAAGAGAGAAACATCGATGTGAGAGAGACATATCCATTGGATGCCTCCCACATGACCCCAATTGGGGCTGGGGATTGAACCTGCAAACCAGGTACACACCCTTGACCAGGAATCGAACCTGTGACCCTTCGGTCCCCAGGCCAACCTCTGACCACTGAGCCAAACTGGCCAGGGCCTCTTATTTTTTAGTTCAAGTTAGCCATCAAATTTCTTTTCCTTAACTTAATTGTATACCACTGGAAATTAATCAGCTTTTCTTGAAATCAAGCTGAAAGTTTATGACAGATTTCTGATGCCTGAGTGATAATCCGTCATAGGACATCAGTTAGTCACACCATCTCTCCAAGCTTTCAAATTTATTTGATTTATTTTAAGCAATTTCTCTTGCCTTCAGTTGCATTTTCTAGCACATGACAGGCAGTCTTATGTGTACATTATAACTTTGTTTCAGGTCTACACCTTAGCAAAATCTTTTAAAAATATATTTTAAGTAACAATTATGAATGTAAATATAAGTTCAACTGAGATAATGGTCAGATGAACAGATACTCTCTGTATGTGGCTAGATTCTAATATAGGAGGTGATAAGAACCATACCTCAAGTGTCTGGATTGTCATTGTAAAACCCATCTCTGATTTCAGAAATGTTTAAACATGAGAAAATACATGGAGACCTGAGGAATAAGTGGGTTTAGTCAGGCAAAGAGCAAAGGGAAAAATGTATTAGACGGAGGAGAGGGCATGTTCAGTATATTTGGTAGCAAGAGTGAGCAGGGTATGTTGGTGGACTGAAGAAGTTCAGTGTGACTAGAACAGAGTGACAAGGGTAGAAAGCTATGGGAAGTAGAAAAGGAACAGCACTTAATTCTGTGGTGTGGGGTCATATCAGGGTTGGCTTCTCAGTAGCAGTGCTCTTTGAGCTGGGCTTTGAGGTGAATGGGAATTCATGGGGGAATGGTAGGATGGGAAGAATATTTTAGGCATAAGCAAAGATGTTGACGTAACTTTTCATATTGGAATCTAAATGAGAACATCATAGAAGGCTGATCCTTTTCGACCCACAGTTCAGTTTTCTGTGACTCTTAGGCCGATGAATTCGTCCGGGCAAATGCCACCAACAAGCTGACAGTGATAGCTGAGCAAATCCAACATTTGCAAGAACAAGCCAGGAAGGTAAGTCATGGCTTTTAGGCAGGCCTTCATTTTCTTCATTTAGTTCATAGGGTTGACTGAACTTGCTGATAATCATTGTAGCTTGTCTTCAGTACCTCCTAGAAATATAGAGGTATTGAGTAAAATAAAATAAGCCCAGGAGGTTAACTATAAGCTAAGTTTTTTCACTAGGAGAAAGTTCAGTGAGGTAAAGCATTTTGAGGGGAAAATATGTTTTTAGTTATAAAAGTGATGTACTTACTACAGAAACATAGGAAAGAAATTTAAAAACCACTCAAAGCCAATAATGCTTAACATTTTGAGAGATATTTCTTCTAAAGGAATTTTCACATTATAGTTAAATTATAGTCTGATTGTGTGCAGAATCATCTGCATCCCAGCAGTGATTTATTGCTATGGGGGAGGAAGCAAGATCATAAACATGCAACCGTTTCTAGATTTTAATTGGGATGATCACTGAAGATGAGTGCCTTTTACCTTCAGTATCTAATTTGTTTCCTCTCTGTGGTTCCTAGGTATTGGAAGATGCTCGCAGAGATGCTGACTTGCACCACGCAGCTTGTAATATAGTGAAAAAACCTGGCAACATTTACTACCTTTATAGACGGGAGAGTGGTCAGCAGTATTTTTCTATTATTTCTCCAAAGGTAAGAGCATTTATTTTTGCATAAAAATCTACTCTAATCTTTTCTTGGCATATGTGTGAAAATGTAGGCATAGGGGTTGGTAAATGGTTTCTCAGAAAATGGGAGGTGGTTTGAGCCCAGATATAACTCTGAAAAACATACATGTGCTTAAATTATTTCACAGTCATTATCTCTGTTAAGGGAGGAATCTGGTGTGTAATGTAATGCTTTCTAGAATGATTCTGTCTGGTCTGAAGTGAAAAGCCAAAAAAAATTTTTGTGGCATAATTAGGAAATGTCTTTACATCTTATCCTAATCAGAACTGACTCCTTTGCCTTCTCTAGGAATGGGGAGCAAGTTGTCCACATGACTTCCTTGGTGCCTACAAGCTACAGCATGACTTGTCTTGGACTCCATATGAGGACATTGAGAAGCAAGATGCTAAAATCAGCATAGTGGACAAGTTACTAAGCCAGCCAGTGGCCCTGCCTCCAAGGCCTGACCCCAACTTCCAGGGACTGACTCACTGAGAATGGCCTCTGACAAACAGCTCTCATGGCAAGGACCTGTCACTTCCTTGTTGCCCCCATCCTCTGCCTTGATGGGAGGTGGCATGAGAACTGAGGGTGTGTAGAAGAATCACGAACTTCTTGGAAGGAGACCGTGTGTGATTGTAATGCTGTCATTATTTGCTTTAGTGGGGATGGTAATGAATCACATCAGTCTTTTTGGGAATCCTCTCTGGTTAACAGATATCCAACCAGTAAGTTTCAGCATACTGGCCAGTGTACTTTCCTTCTCTTTGTCTCCCTCTGTTCTCTTTGTAAGTCAGAGCATTAGAGAAAGATGAGTTTCTTCTTCCCATAAAAAGGTTGGTGAGGATTTCCAGAGGGACTGTTTTTAATTTTTTTTGTAATGCATCTTTAAGGTTGGGTTTAGACTACTTAACATTTGGTGCACTTGAGCTTCAATTTATCAGGAAACAAGAATGTTGGGTAATGGAGGATCATAAACACCTTGGCTTGGCTGCACTAGTGTGTGTGTGATTCTGGTGCTTCTGCACTGTTGGTGAGGTTTGGCTTGCGCCCTCTGCTCTTTCTGCCTAGCTAGTGACTGGAGAATCGCAGGAAGCAGCAATGGGTCAGCCTCTAAACTCACAGAGGCTGCCCTTAGTTCCTTACCATGTGGGTCTCCCCAACAAGACAACTTTCTTCTATCCCCTCTCCAATCCATTCTGCAAAGATCAGCTTGATCTTATCTAAGGTCATACCCCTCCCCTCACAAGATAATTTATCAAGGAGCTGGAGCTTGGGAGGAAGGAGCTCCTAAGTGCCTGGAGCAATTAGACTTTTGTAGTCCCCCTCCCCCCCTTTATTGATTTTAGAGAGAAAGGAAGGGAGAGAGAGATAGAAGCATCGATGAGAGAGAACATTGACTGGCCGCCTCCTGCACACCCCCACTGGGGATTTGGCTCACAACCTGGGCCAAATTCATGTCCCCTGACCAGGAATCAAACCGGCGACCTCTTGGTTCATGGGTTGATGCTCAACCATTGAGCCACACCGTCCTGGTGACTTTTGTAGTCTTAAGCAGCATTTGATTCAGTTGTCCACTCCCTGCTTGAAAGGTTTTTCTTCATTTTGATATGGAATTACAATCTGCTTTTCTCCTACTTTACCAATTGTGCCTTCTCAGTCTTCTGGCACATTTTTAAAAAATACGTTTTTATTGATATTTTAGAGAGAAAGGAATGGAGAGAGATAGAAATATCGATGTGAGAGAGAAACATCAATTAGCTGCCCCCTGCACACCTCCTACTGGGGATCAAGCCTGCAACCTGGGCATGTGCCCTGACTGGGAATCAAATCGGGACCTCTCAGTCCACAAGCGACTCTTGATCCACTCATGCATGTCCAGCCTGATCTCTCCCTCAAGTTTCACGCAGACTTGTTTATGTAACAGCCTTACTTGACGTCATTACAAACTTAACTGTGTCCAAAAAAGGTTTTGACTTCTACCCAAACATCTATTTCATCACCAGTTTTCTCTGTATATTTCCATCAGCGCCTATCTCACACAGTTGTCAAGGCCAGAAACCTGAGTCATCTCTAATTTTGTTTGTTCTTCCCACATTAATCAGCAAGTCATCTTAACTCCTTTATTTTATTTAAAAAAAATTTTTTTTATTTATTTATTGATTTTAGAGAGAAAGGAAGGGAGAGGAAGATAGAAACATCGATGAGAGAGAACATTGATTGGCCACCTCCTATTTGCCCCACACTGGGGATTTGGCCCACAATCTGGGTATGTGCCCTGACCGGGAATCGATCCTGCAACCTGTTGGTCCTGCAACCACTGAGACACACCAGCCGGGTGTAACTTTGTCTTTAAAATACATCCCAAGTCTGACTGCTTCAGACCACCTCCACCACTACCCCCTTAGTCCATGACACCGATATTTTTAGCCTGGACTAATGAATGCAGTAGCCTCCTAATTTGGCTCCCCGCCTCTATTCTTACCCTCCTTCATTCTGTCTCCAAAGAGACTGTCAGCATCATCTTTTATTTATTTTTATTCTTTTTATCCTCACCTGAGGACATTTTTCCATTTTTTGTTCAGATAGAGTGAGAGGGAGAAAGGGAAGAGAGAGAGAAACATCAACGTGAAAGGGACACATTGAGTGGCTGCCTCCTGCACGACCCAACCAGGACCTGGGACAAACTACCAAGGTACGTGCCCTTAGCGGGAACCAAACCCGGGTCTCTGGACCGCAGGCTGATGCTCTAACCGCTGAGCAAAACTGGCCAGGGCACATTGATGTTTCTTTATCTCTCTACACCCCTTTCCCTTCTACTCTCTCTAAAAATCAATGGAAAAAAATATCCTCGGGCAAGGATTAACAAAAAAATAAAATTATAAAGCAGGTCACAATGCCTCTATATAAAAACAACCCAATAATTTCTCATTACACTTAGAATAAAGTCCAGTCTTCTTACCAAGGTGCTATGTGATTTATCACTCTCAGTATTCACCATGTTCCCACTGACCTCTCTGTTCTAACACATCAGGCTTGTTCCTGCTTCATACCTTTTTTTTAATAGCAATATTTTAGATTTATTATAAGTGGTGTAAATTTTTTAAAAATTATTTTTATTAATTTGTTTTTGTTACAGATGCTTCAGACCCTTTACATTTGCTGTTCCATCTACCTGGACTATCCCCCAAGATCTTTGTGTGATTTGCATTTTCTCGTCATTTATGTCCTGCTCAAATACCACTTCATTGATGACCCTATCAGAAATAACCAACTCTCCCATCAAAATCACTTCTGACTGCTTTGTTTTCCATAGCCCTTATCACGACCAGACATTATTGGTTCCCTTTCCCAACAGGACAGAAATGGTGTCTGCCTTGTTGTTGTTTTTTTTATCCTCACCCGAGGACATTTTTCCATTTTTTGTTCAGGTAGAGTGGGAGGGAGAGAGAGGAACAGAGAGAGAGAGAGAGAAACATCGATGTGAAAGGAACACATCGAGTGGCTGCCACCCGCACAACCGACCAGGGCCGGGGACAAACTGCAGCCGAGGCACGCGCCCTTAGCGGGAACCGAACCCGGGTCTCTCAGGACCGCAGGCCGACGCTCTAACCGCTGAGCCAAACTGGCCAGGGCGGTGTCTGCCTTGTTTATTGTTATATCCCTAGCACCTAAAATATTGCATGACACATAATAAATACTCTGATAATGACTGGATGAATGGGTGGACATCAGGAGGTCTGCACTTCCTCATATTCTGCGAAGGATCTCAACGTGGCTAGTAGAAATATAATGTGAGCCACGTGTGGTTTTAAAATTTTTAGTAGCTACATTAAAAAATAAAACAGGTGCCCTGGCCAGTTTGGCTCAGAGGTTAGAGAGACCCGGGTTCAGTTCCCGCTAAGGGCACTTACCTCAGCTGCAGTTTGTCCCCGGCCCTGGTTGGGTCGTGTGGGTGGCAACCACTCGATGTGTCCCTTTCACATCTATGCTTCTCTCTCTCCTGCTCCATCTGAATAAAATATGGAAAAATGTCCTCGGGTGAGGATTAAAAAATAAAATAAAACAGGTGAAATTAACTTTGATAATACATTTTATCTAACCCAGTATATACAAAATATTAACATTTCAACAGATGATACTAAAAAAAATGTTATTTTAAATTATTTGAACAGAGTATTCAAACTCTGGTTGTATTTTGCATAAATAGCACGTCTCAATTTGGACTAGCCATGTTTTAAGTGCTCAAGAGCCAGATGTGGCTAGTGACTACCATGTTATCACAGTGTAGATAGTCTAACCTCACTGTTCTTGTTCTTCATTTCCTTTGTGATCCAGAACGGGAGGAAGCCAAAACCTTCTGACAGATGGGGAAGATGAGCTTTCTTAGCTACTGCTGCTTGTCTCCCTCATCTGAAGGAGGCCTTGGGGAAGTCCAGGCTAACAAGTGCATGATCATGTAACAATCATAATGAATAATTGAGTTTTTACTCTGTGCTAAGCACTTCGTATAATCTCATTTTACAGATTAGAATATAGGTTCAGGAAAACAGTAACTTGTTCAAATCTACACATCTAGTCAGTGTTAGAGCTGGAATGTAACTTGGTTAAAAGTCAAAGCCAGTATTATAACCATTATGCTAGTTTTTAATTTACCACTTGACTGGCCCACAAGGCTCGGACAAATGAAGAGAAACACAGAAGCCGATCTGACTCTTGGCTTGGACTTGCAGCACACACTTAGTTGCCTCCATCCTGGTTCTTTTAGTTTCTCAGACACCTTAGATCTGACTTTGCGTCAGGCTGTGTTCAGGTCTCAACGTCAGTAATTATTGTGTAACCTTTGATAAAATTAACAAATCCCCTGTTTCATCTGGAGAACAGGAACGCTACTGCCTCGGGCATTTGAGAAAATCCAGGAAATGTGTGTAAAGCACTGAGCACAGTGCCCTGTGGCTAGTAGCCACTCAGGACACACTAGGTCCTGTACTGCTCTTTCCCTTCCAGACAGCAAGGAGAGGCAGTGTCACTCGAGCTCCTAGCTCCACCCCTTCTCTTTGTGGGGCAGGTGTTAGAACTGGTGCCTGGGATCCTATCCAGTACTAACATTTCTTTCTGGAGCACACTATCCATGGCCAAGTCTAGACACTTATAGAGGCCCTTCCTTCTCCCTCTCAATCCTCTCCCACACTCGGGATTCCAACTTCCCATGGCGCCTAGTCTGGCCAGCAGTGGGGGTTCTCCAGCCCACTGCCTCCTCATGCAGTATTACAGAGCCTTCCTCCACACTGGCTCCAGAATACTCGTTCTAAACCAACCTGACCTGTCACTTTCCTACTTAAAACTTCTTATTTTCAGGACTGGGTATACATTACCCAGCTTGTCATTCATCCAACAAATATTGGGGTGGGGTGGGGGCTTACTGTAAGCCTGAACATTCTTATACACCAGTGTGCCGCACAGAGCAAAAGCCCTGTCCACAGGAGCTTATATTCTAGGGGCCTTCACAGTCTGGACTCCAGCATCCAGCCTTATCTTCCCAACTCCCTTCCCATCCACCTCCCATTCGCCAAGCTTTCTGTTCCCTTCACCTGCCAGCCTTCCCCATTCCCACGATGGAGACCAGTCCCCTCCAGTGAGATCCCTGCAATCCGCACCACGCCCACTACAGGAGGCTCCCCGGCAAATTGAAGCCCCTCTCACTAGCTACAGCCCGGCTGCCCCTCCCCTGCCTCTAGGGGATTGTGAGCTAAGAGCCAGGGTTAAGAGGCTTGGGGCCGGGGCCGCTGCCCCTTGCTTGGGCTGGTCCCCCTCCGCTGAACAGGAAGCAGGGAAAGGTGTGCGGGCCCTACCCCATTTAGGAATGTCCTGTTCCCAGGTGAGCGTGCGCCGAGCGCATGTTCCTCCCCTGACTGCTGTCGGCGACCAGGCCCCTGGGGGAAGTTGTTCCCAAGTGCAGACGCCCAGCCTCTGCTCCATCTCCTGCGTCTTTTCGTAAGGGTGGGTCCTGGGCAGGTGGAGCCTGGACTGAACTCGGAACAGCGAGGAGGGGAGCGCTGGTGTCTCCAATTTAGAAGAACCAGCCCCAGAGAGGCCGCATTCTGTTGTTCGGGAACGTAGGCCTTGAGTTGGGGGGGGGGGGTGTGGAGGAGCAGGCGGTAAGGTCTCTAAACACAGCGACTGCGCCCTGTGTCCCACCACGCTGGACCTCTCCGCCTGGAGCTGCTCACTCCAGTGCTGCGCCCGGGTTTGCTGGTGAGGAACCGGCTTGGCCATTCATTTCCTTTCCTGAGGAACCTCAGGCAGCTCTGCTCGCAGACATCTCTTGACCAGTCTCATGGCTGGTTTTCTTTCTGCAGTTTCTCCCCTTCAGACCACCCTCCATTCCCAATCCCCATCTGACGAGGGCACCCCCTTACTAAACATCACTGCCTACCCACAGGCTGCAATTCAAGGTCACACCTGTGGCCTCCTTGCCCACTTGCCTCCAGGCACCCCTCTCTCTCCCTGGGGTTCAGCCTCCTCACTGTACTTTCACACCTGCGATTCCCTTTGCCAAGAAGGCCCCCCCTTTGTTCATATTTAGAGATTTTCCACAAATATCACATTAGGGAAACCTTCCCGGGACTTTGTCTCTTTCCCTTTGCACCTGCAGCGACTGGATGTCCCTTTGTCCACACTTGCCATGCTACCTTCATTGTCCCTACACATGTCTGCCTCCCTTTCCAGAATCCAGGCTTCCTGAGGGTGCAGCCTGGGTCTTGTTCTCTCCACCTCCAGAACACACAGGACTGGCACAGAGCAGGCACCAGCACCTATATGTTTTTAAATGAGTAAATGGAAGATCCTAAGTGTTGGGTAGATGTCGTGCGTGGTGAAGGGGCTGGATTGTTGAGGGTTCATTTCAGAAGGCTTCTTGTAGGACAAACTGGCCAGGCTTTGATGCAGGGAGAGGTGTGATTTGGTGCAGTGAGAGTATCTCAGGGAAGCACCAGTGACATACTCTGTTATAACAGTCACTTAACAGCTTCTATTGGCAGACCTCAGGGTGAGCACAGGGGACCCTGGTCCACAGTCAGGTTGCTTCATCTGTAGTAGAGGAGGAAGACAGGATAGGCAATGCCAATAGTGAGTGCCAAGTGTCACATGGTGTGTACAAGGAGATGTGGCAGCACAGAGAAGGAGCACCTCACAGGTTTGGAGGGGGGTTGGTAGTCCCAGGCTTCCCAAAGAGGACCACCACCTGAACCTAGACAAGAGGGAGGGCCAGAGAAGGGATTGGGGGCAGTAGAGGGTAGAGGTTGAGAGTTGAGCAGCAGCTCATTATGAAGGGTTTATGTACCAAATGAAGGAGTTGGATTTCATCCTGAGGGCCTTGGGGAGCCACTGATGGGTTCCGAAAAGCTAGGGAGTGACATGATCTAACTTTGCAGGCCACTGCTGTGCTATACCTCATTTATGATCCCCTTCCCCGAGAAACCTTCTCTAAGCCCCATTGACATGCTGGTCTCCTGTGCTGCCTCAGCATCCTGGTCACTTCTCCCATGCAGGGTTGAATTCTTCTGCTAGACTGCGTTCCTTAAGAGATGAGAACAGGTCTTAATCTTCTGTGTCTGAAGCACCAGGCACCAAATCTTGCTCATGACTAAATGTTTGCTGAATGAATGGATGATTCCTTTTTTCTCTGGATTTTGGCAGCCCTTACTCTCATTCTTTCATACCTGGGACCTGTGCATTATGCTAAAAATAGCATTAAATTGGGAAAGAGGAGACCTGATTCAAATTCTGTCTCTACCATCTACTGGGATAAGTTGCTTAACTCTCCTGAAACTTCAGTTTCCCCATTTGTTAGATGGGTACAACCGGGTACAGAGTAAGTCTCCACATGCATGCATGAGTCTTATTTTCCTGGATAGCCTGGAAGTTCCATGAAGTCAGAGGCCGAGGGTTTTCCCCAGCACCTAGCTCAGCCTGAGTTCACAGTGAATACAATGCTTGATCCTGACGGTTGGTAGACAGAGAATACAGAGGAAACTTACAGAAGTTTTAAGTCCTAGCTTGCCACTTCCAAGGGGTGTCAGTGACCTTGAGCAAGGTTCTTCTCCTGTTTGAGTCTTCTTTGCCTTACCTGGCAAGTAGGAATAGTGATCCTTAACTGGTAGACTTCACAGGGCCAATGGAAACCATAGAGGTGAACGTGCTTTGTGAATGAGAGAGATAACATAGTAGATAACTGATCATTAATTAAAAAACAACAGCCCTGGCCAGTTTGGCTCAGTGGTTAGAGCGTCGGCCTGCGGTCCTGAGAGACCCGGGTTCGGTTCCCGCTAAGGGCGCGTACCTCGGTTGCAGTTTGTCCCCGGCCCTGGTTGGTCGTGTGGGTGGCAGCCACTCGACGTGTCCCTTTCACGTCGATGTTTCTCTCTCTCTCTCTCCCTCCCACACTCTATCTGAACAAAAAAAATGGAAAAAATGTCCTCGGGTGAGGATTAAAAAAAAAACAAAAAAAAACAACAACAGTGAACTAGTATAGATGAGGTGTGTCTGGTAATTGGCAAGCTTACCCCAGGTACCTGCTGACTGCCACTGAGAGGCAGAGATGCTGGGATGCTGCTCTTCCAGGCCTCAGTGGGCTGGGCTGGGAGAGAGGTGTTTGGTTTTGCTGGGGTCAGTCTGGAGGCCCAGGAGAGACTGGGCTAGAGGGGTTCATGGGAAGGAGTGTGCAGCCAGTCCTTTGCCCCCTCTCCTCCTAGATTTCTCTGGCTCACACTGCTTCCTGTCTTAAGTTTTGGGGGGCCCTGGCAGGAGGTCTGAGGAGTCCCAGTGGCTTTGGTGACACTCCTTGGTGAAAGACTGGCTGCAGGAGCAATGAACCCACAGCGCTGCCCTGACAAGCTCCCAGTGCCAGACCTCAAGTCCAGCCTCTCCCAGCCTCTGACATTTTGGTGGCAAGGTTTATGGGAAAGGACCAAGATTGTCTTAGCTCTTGCCCAGACTGGAAGGGCCTGCGACTGTACAGAGACATTGAGTAGGGCAGAGTCTCGGTTCCTCACCTCTAAACCGAGTGAGATTAAATGGGGAGAATCATAGCACGTCTTCCGAAGTCGGCAGGATCAGAAGAGAGTGCACAGTGAAGAGTGCCCCGTGAACTATTCATGCAACACATCATGTTTCTTGTTTGTTTCTCATTTCTTCCTTCCTCTGTTGGAGCCGGGCCTGCTGTTCTGGTTGGGGCACATCAGAACCAGGACCTTGAGGCACCTCAGCCGCAGCCCTGTCCTGATGGCGTGAACGTGGCCTGCGGGACAGAGGAGCCTCAGTCTGCAGCGGGTCCCTTTTGTGCTTCCTTCCCCTCAGGTACCCCTCTCTCCTTGGGCCATCCTCGGGTGATGGGTGTTAGCCCTTTCCAGTGTTTGTTTTTCCTGTGGGACTCACCCCAAAGTACTGAAAGTAGCTTTGTAATTTAGAGAAAAAAAAAAAAGGTCTCATCTATGACAAAGAGCTCAATGTCAAAAGGCTCATCTCTCAGAAGGGGGGAAGTGTCCACTCTTTGTACCCTGGGTCATGGGGGTGCCAGGAGGGTCAACATGTCCGGAGGGAGGTTTGTGCTGTGGGGTGAGGGGTGTAGTCAGAGAGGCATGGGAACTGTGGCTGTGCTGGTCACTCACTTTGCTCTGGGCGTTCCCAAGACACTCAGCGTCTGCACCTTTGTCTTTACCCCCCGGATCTCCTCCATCTACTCCCGTCTGCCTCATTCCAGCCAGTGAAACAGTGTTTGGAGGGTGAGGTTCTGGTATAAAATCTAGGGGAACAGGAGCTAATTGGTTCTTAGGAGCCTCTTTTGGGACTCTTTGACCTTGGGAATCCCTTGCCCCTCTTCCCTGGACCCCAGGTCAGTGCACCAGTTTCTTCCTAACCAACGACCAGAATCACCCCCAGATGAATGAATTTTCCTGGAAGGATGTTACCAATGCCTTGTCCTTGTCCAACATGATCCTGGGTCTCTTCTCCATCTTCTGCAGCTTCTGCAAGTAGGTCTGGGGCCCAGCAAGGTCTCTGAAGGGCATAAGGAAAAAAGGGGGAGTCTAAGAGAGCCAGACACTGAGACATGGAGATCAAATGAAGGCAGGAGACAGTGTAGTGGGTTGGGAGTGAAGGGGCCAAGATTCTACCTTCCATTCTACCACCAACCTAGTATGTGACCTTGGCTAAGTCACATCCCTGAGCCTCAGTTTCTCCATCTTTAAAACAAGGAGCTCACAATATGATCTCTATAGTTCCTTCTAGTTATGGCAGTCTAGTATGGTTTTTATGCAAAAATTAAGAGGTTTTGCTATGGTAGCCTTGACACAATCCTTGGGTAGGCAGGCTACCATTCACATTTTTTGATTCTTAAATAAGAATGATCTGGTGGAATATTTAAAATGAGCATTGCTCTGGAAAGTCTGAGACATGTGTATGGGCCCTCAACAAGTTGTAAGCAAATGATATTTCTATAAATTGAATCATATTTTAATGCCTTGGCAAACCATATCTTTATGGATAAATCCTTTATAATGCAAATAACATCCTCTTAATCTGTTTTAATCTCTATAACCATCAGTAGGTGACTTCTCTGGATTTGTGTCTCATGATATTTAAGTTCCCTCCCAGTTTGAATATTTTATGATTCTCTAAGTCTGGGTTTTTGGGAGTCATACCTGCTGCAGAAAATCTTTATTTTCATAGTTTAGCCTAATCCTCTGGGAGTGAGGTTTTCATGTTATTATGGTGAGCCCAGTTCCCTTTAAACACATAGGTACAGGTCTAAGCAAAGGAAATTCTGAGGTTGTTTGGGGACTGCTGAGGTCTGGGGCCAGGCTTTCTGTCTGCTGCTTCTGGGCCACCCACACACTGCAGTCAGAGTGTAGGCTTGGGAATGGCCTCCTAGGGCAGGTTTGCCTGAGATTGTGGTGGCTGCTTTCAGAGGGGTCTGGGAGCATGTGCTGAACAAAATGCTTCAAATGTAGGGTCTGAAAGGGCTCTAGAGAGTCATTTATAGCATCAAAATACAATAGACAAAGACTGATACAACTGCAAGAAGTTGATGAATCTACTATCATAGCTGGATATTTTAACACCCCTCTATCAGTAACTGACAGAGCCAGCAGGCATAAAATTAGTAAGGGTATAGTGGAACTGTACAGTACCATCAATCAACTGCGTCTAATTGATATTTATAGACTACTTTGTCCAACAACAGCAGAATACACATTCTTCTCAAGCTCATCATGATAGACCACATTCCAGGCTATAAGACACACCTTAATAAATTTAAAAGAATAGAAATCACATAAAGTATGCTCTCAGACCACATGGAATCAAACGAAGTCAATAACAGAAAGATAACTAGAAAATCCAAAAATATGTGGAGGTTAAACAACACAGTTCTAAATAATATATAAATAAAAGATGAAGTCTCAAGAGAAATTTAAAAATATTTTTAACTAAAAGAAAATGTAAATACAACTTACCAAAGTTTGTGAGATGCAGTAAAAGCAGTACTTAGAGGGAAATTTATAGCATTAAAAATGCATATACTAGAAGAGAAAAATGTGTTGTGTAACAGACTACATCAAGATAATTAGAAGACAGGCCTGGCTGGGTGGTTCAGTTGGTTGAAGCATCATCCTATACACCAAAAGGTTGCAGGTTCGATTCCCAATCAGAGCACATACCTAGGTTGCAGGTTTGATCCCCATTGGGGGTCGGGAGGCAACCAATTGATGTTTCTCTCTTACATCTCTCTCTTTCTCATACTTCCTCTCTCTAAGATCAATAAAAACATATCCTCAGGTGAGGAGTTAAAAAAAAGAAGAAGCAAAGAGAATTAGAAGACAAGTCACAGACTGGGAGAAAATATTTGCAAAAGATAAGTTGGATAAGTAACTATAATCTAAAACATACAAAGCTTAAAACTAACAATAAGAAAATAACCCAATTAAAAAAGAGCAAAGACCTTAACAGATACCTTACCAAAGACCGATATACAGATAGCATATTAGCGTACAAAAAGATGCTCAATATTATGTGTCATCAGGGGAATGTAAATTAAAACAACTGTGAAATATCACTACACCTATTAGAACAGCCAGAATCCAGAACACTGACAACACCAAATGCTGGTGAGGATGTGGAGCAACAGGAACTCTCATTCATTGCTGGTTGGAATGCAAAATGGTGCAGCCACTTTGGGAGATAGTTTGGCAGTTTCTTACAAACTAACACTTTTACTGTATGACCTAGTAATCACACTCCTTGGTATTTATTTAAATGAATTGAAAACTATCTTCACACAAAAACCTACACTTGGATGTTTATGGTGTTTTATTCATAGCTACCAAAACATGGAAGCAACCAAGATATCCTTCCCTAGATAAATGGATTAAAACGTGTGGTACATCCAGAATGGGATATTATTCAGTGCTAAAAGGAAATGGAGTATCAAACCATGCGAAAACATAGAGGAAACTTAAATGCATATTATTAACTGAAAGAAGTCAATCTGAAAGACCATATATTCTGGAAAAGAAAATATGGAGAGAATAAAAAGATCAGTGGTTGCCAGAAAAGGGGTTGGGGTTGGGAAGGACATGAATAGGTAGAGCAGAAAGGATTTGTAGAACAGTGAAAATACTCATATTATAATAATGGATATATGTCATTGTACTTTTTTTTTTTAATCCTCACCTAAGGATAATTTAAAAAATTATTTTTCTTTATTGATTTTAGAGAGAGAAGAAGGGAGAGACAGAGAGAGAGAGAGATATAGAAACATCGATGAGAGAGAACATCAATTGGCTGCCTCCTGCATGCCCCCACTGGGGATCAGGCCCACAACCTGGGCATGTGCCCTGACTGGGAATCGAACTGGCGACCTCTTGGTGTGTGGGTTGACCCAACCACTGAGCCACACAGGCCGGGCTCACCCAAGGATAATTTTACATTTATCTTCAGATAGAGCTGGAGGGAGACAGGGAGGAAGAGAGAGAGAGAAACATCAATATGAGAGAGATACATCAATTGGTCGCCACCCACACAACCACAGCGGGGCCAGGAATGAACTGCAACTGAAGTACGTGCCCTTGGCTGGAATTGAACCCAGAACTCTTTGATCCGTGGACTGACGCTCTTACTGCTGAGCCATAACGGCCAGGGCTCATTGTACTTTGGCCAAATCCACTGAATGCACAACACCAGGAGGAAACCCTAAGGTAAACTATGGACTTTGATTATGATGTGTCAAGGTAGGTTCATCCTTGGTATGTGCCAAGAACCAGACTGTATCCTTCTGGCGAGTGATGCTGACAATGGGGGAGGCTATGCATATGTGAGAGGAGGGTGAATATGGGAAATCTCTGTACTTTCTTCTTAATTTTGTTGTAAACCTAAAACTTCTCTAAAAAATTGTCTTAGAAAAAAATTGAAAAGAAAGAAGATCTAAAATCAATAACCTGAGCTTCCACCTTAGGAAATTAGAAAAAGAAGAGCAAATTAAGTCCAAAGTAAGATAAGAAAATACATAATAAAAATCAGAGCAGAACTCAATGAAATTGAAAATAAGAAATTAATAGAAAAAATCAACAAAACCAAAAGTTGGTTCTTTGAAAAGACCAATAAAATTGATAAGCTTCTAGCCAGGCCAACCAAGAAAAAAAGAGAGAAGGTATAAATGACCAATATCAGAAATGAAAGAGGAGCCATTACTACTGATCTCATGGACATTAAAAGTGTAATAAAAGAATATTATGGCCCGATCAGTGTGGCTCAGTGGTTGAGTGTCGACCCATACACCAAGAGGTCACCGATTTGATTCCTGGTCAGGGCACATGCCCAGGTTGTGGGCCCAATCCCCAGTGGGGTCATGCAGGAGGTAGCCAATCAATGTTCTCTCTTATCGATGTTTCTATCTATCTCTCCCTCTCCCTTCTTCTCTCTCTCTAAAATCAATAAAGAAAAAAAAAGAATATTATGAACAACTCTATACCCACAAATTTGATAGCCTAAATGGACCAATTCCTTAAAAGACTTAAACTATCAAAACTCACAGTAGGAGAAATAGATAATCTGAATAGGCATAGATGCATTAAAGAAATCATTTGGCACAAACCCCTCATTTTATAGATGGAGGAACTGAGGCCCACAGAAAGTGGGGAGTGATCTATCTGAGAATTCATAGTAATATGGTTGCAGAGGCTGGGCTAGAAGCTAGGACCCCTGGGCCATTGAATATGCCTACAATTTAGAGTTGGAAGGGACCTTAGTGATTACCTAGGGGGTTTGGGGCACCCCGTTAAGACTGCAGGTTGAAAGTATGGAAGGAATGTAGGTGTGTGTGTGCCCGTGTGCATGTATGGTGTGTAAAGCAGTGCATATCAGAAAGGATGTGAGTGTAGGGAACTTGCAGGGGTGTGCACGTGTGCAGGTGTAGGAAGTGTATTGGTGTACTGGAGGTGTGTGGAGTGGTCGTCCAGTGGGGACTATGAAAGAGCTGTCCTGTTTGAGTCTGCTGGCCTACACTTTAGGAAATCCCACTGTGCCTCCTGGATGCTTCTGATCAGCTTCTTATTAGACATGGCAGTCAAGACAATCACCAGACACCTCAACCTCTGTCCCAAATCAGGTGAGTCCAGGCTTCAGACCCCTAATCCCTGACTCCAGGAGCACCCATGTCAGGGCAGCTCCTTCTAAAAGGAGCTGGTGGCCTTCATCAGTCACCAGTCCTGTTCACATCTCTGTTCACAGCAGAAGCAGCCCTAGAGTCGCAGCTGGAGCCCCTCGGCCTAGATCTCGCTCCTTTGCTGGCTCACTTACTGATCTCTGGCTGTCCTTGGCCTGGCTTTCAGTTTCCTTTTCTGCCCTGCATCCCTGTTCAGGGCCGATCCAGGAATTGGGAGTGGGAATGGTGGTTGTGATGGTGGGGTAGAGGGGAAATGAAAAATTACTCCCAGCAGAGCAACTAATTGAAAATACATAAACTATTTATGTGTCAGATTTTACCTGAAAAAAAAAAAGGGTTTCATAGTTTATTAATTTGTATCCAGTTGTAGTCCAACTGTTGCATGTTCAAGGATGGAACTAAGACCTGGACAGGGAAAGACTTGCCTAAGGCCACATGGTCAGTCTAAGGTAGAGCCAGAAGACCAGTCTTTGATCTATAGACCACCCCAGGGAGTAGATGTTGCCCTCTGGGACCTCAGACCCACTTGTCACCATTCCAGTACCCCCAGCAGAAGGGACTAATGTATACGGTTTATAAGTGTAAGTTCTAACCTTGGCCTTCTGGAGCAGGAGCTGAGCTGAATGACTTTGCCGTGTTCACCACCTTTGGCCTGGCCCCAGCCCTGCTCCTAGGTGTGGATGGGCCTCTGAATGGGTTCCTGGCCGTCACCTATGTGTTAGCTGCTTCTTTCCGCCTGTGTTTTTATTCAACTGGTGGGTGAGCCCCAGCTTTACCGGGAGCTAGGGAACCACGGAGGGGAGGAGCTGTTGGATGCCAGAAGCCTGGGGTGCAGTAACGGACTCATCTCCTTCCTTTTATAAAGTCCCTCTTCCTTCCCTCTCCTGTGCCCCAGACCCACTGGAGGCTGCAGGCTGCACTGCAGAGCCCTGGTCTAGGGGGTGGGGCCCTCAGTTCTTGGCCATTTGTGTCTTTTTCTCACTGTGTGTGACCTTTGGATGAAGCACATGGATTCCGACTCTAGAACTAGAGGTCATACTACAGTTTTCCAAAACAGATGGATACTGAGTTCTGGCGAGGATAGTTGCCTAAGATCTCAACACAAGGGAGTGCAGCTAAAGACTAGATCTCAGAGGATCCTTCTACAGAGGCTTCCTAGGGCCAGGCCACACACCTGGCCCCAGCTGCCTGCTTTGCCCTGGGGACCCCATGCAAAGCCCATGCACTAGCTCTGTGAATGATTAAATGTTTTACAGCCTCCCACCGTCCTGGGACTAAGGGAGTTTGAGGTGAGGGTGGGGAAAACCCAAAGGGACCAGGGCTTGCTTCATGCAGACACCTTGAGATCAGCAGGACGCAGCTAATCCCCCTCTTTTCTTTCCCTAGCTGGCATTTCCTTCACATACAAGGGTCTTCCCTGCCCCTATGCTTCCTGTGTTTTGGCCTCCACCTCTCTTCTGACCAAAGGCAACACGTTCATTCTCTCTTGCATGACCTCACTTATGATTCTGTTCATGATGGACCAGAGCTACTACCCACATGATGAAATCCTGGAGTCTGAGAACTGGAAAAAAATAGTTTATCTGGGAGGTGAGTGGGGATGAGAGTAGGGGGTGGAAAATTCACATAAGACAGCCTCATAACAAACTGAGTGTTTGTATTTTCTTCTTCTTCCAGGTGTCATCATGCTGCTTTTGTCTCCACTCTCACTAACTGCTTTTTACTGCCTGATGTGGTCGCTCTCCTACATCTTCTTTCCAGATGCTCTGTGGGGCAAGACAGCGTGTCTTATGCAACAGCCCTTAAAAAACTGAACAGCTCTACCCACTGCTGCTGGCCTCGGTGCCAGCTTGTTGGGCCAAGCCTTGCCTTATCCTCACTAAATCTCTTTGTCCCTGTGTTGTGCCTGTGGTAGACACCTGCTGCCTCGCACCAGAACAACCCACAGTAGGGCCAGCAGCTCTCTCCTCCTCCCCTTTATTCAGGGATCTGAATCCCTTGAGGACAATAGTTGTTCATGTCAGATGGGACAGAATTATTTCCCAAGCTCAGTTTCAGTCGGGTTTGAGTTCCAACTCTATTATCATTTGGGTGACCTTGTGCACTAAAGTTAATACCTTGGAAAGGAATGAAACCCATCAGCATTGCGATAGCTGCCACCTTGGCCCTGCCCATCATACTTTCTCCAGGGGTGGGGTGGAACTCAGCTCACTAAAGCATTTCTTATTCTTTTTTCTCAATTACAGTTGACATTCGATATTGTATTAGTTTCAGGTACACAGCATAGTGATTAGACATTTATAGCTTATAGAGTGCTCCCTTGATAAGTCTACTACCCACCTGGCACTATAGTTATTATAATATTATTGACTATATTCCCGATATTGTACTTTACATCCCTATGACACTTTTCTGACTGTCAATTTATACTTCTTAATCCTTTCACCTTTTTTATCCAGCTTTCACACCCCTCCCCCAATTTGGCAACCATCTCTGTATCTATGAGTTTGTTTGTTTTTGTGTTCATTATTTTGTTTTTTTAGATTCCACATAAGTGAAATCATATGGTGTTTGTCTTTCTCTGATTTATTCCACTTGGCATAATACCATCTAGGTCTATCCAGGTTGTTGCAAATGGTAAGATTTCATTTTTTATGGCTGAGTAATATTCCTTTGCATATATGTATCACCTCTTCTCTATCTAATCATCTATCGATGGACACTTAGGTTGCTTCCATATCTTGGCTATTGTACACAATGCTGCAATGAACTTACAGACTCTGGCTCCATAGAGCCAAGCTAGTCACAGGACAATCATGTTGTTCAATTTGAATGTGTATAGGTCTTTGTAACATAAAATTCTGTAATTATTTCAACAATCAAAGCTTCTGCCTTTTACTTCGTTTAGAGATTAGACATACTGGAAGCTTGAGGGCATCACTTGGTTTCTAGGACCTCATTATGTTTTTTTCCCTAAGCTTTAAAATGCTAAGCTCTAGATAATCAAAAGCCACTCATATTCTAAAGTCCAAAGCGAATAAACAGTATTGTATGGCACCCTAAAGTCGCACCTCAAAAAAGAACATAGATCCATGGAAAGCAGTAAACTGCAGCATTGTCTCCACTTTCTACCTCCAGGTGGTATACCAAGGATGTTGGCTGGTCACCCCTTCCTCAGCAGGGCACCAGGGCACCTTTTAACTTCTTGACGTTTGTAGAACAATGTATGAAGCAAATATGCATTCAATCTAAAATTAAGATTTAAAAATAAAAATCCAAAGAAGTCCACATTGCGCTGCTTTGGCTCTGCAGGAAGAGCCCCCCCTCTGGTCACAGCTCTACCATGCACATTTCTCAGTTAGGTGACTGCCTGTCCCACTCTCTCTTAACTTCCTTCAGTTTTTGCTTTTGGATTTCCGCTGCCTGCCAGTGCCTGGTACTCATCATCCTTTGGAGATGAACTGATTTGGTTGTGCATTCTAGTGAACTATACACAAAGTTACTATAATGAAGAATCCTACAAACACCCATGAGCTCAGACATTCCAATCTGAATGTCCCCATCATAAACCTGTTTCTAGGCCTGATCAAGTCACCTGCCCTCCCCTCCCCTGCCCGCTGGTGCAGGCCTGCTGCTAGCTGTCCACATTGACAGGGTGACAGGACCCTGGCTCCCAGCTCTGACCCCGAGGAGCAGCTCACCTGGGGGCAAAGAGGCGCTGATTTGGAAGGTGTGGTAAGAGGGAGGATCGGCCCCAGGAGGAGTGGGAACTGGAAGCCGTCATGTCCTTTCTCCCCTCTCCCTCCCACTCCCCTCCCGAAGGAGCAGGTTCCCTCTGCTCACCTCACCTTTTCTATAACATTCTTTTTGATCCACTTCTTACGACTAGGCACCCCCAAACTAAAGTATGAAAAATGAACATTTTGTTAGTATTTTATTTGTATTTTTGGATACAAACACTGATTTTTCTCAAACACTGATTTTTCTCAAACAATAAAAAAAGTTTTTGTTTTTTTTTAAAAAAAGAATATTGTCTTAGAAGAATAAAACAAGTCTCTTCAGCAAGCAGTGGACCCATTCAGATCGGAGGAACCAGTGAAGCAGAAGTTACATGTAGGAAGTTGAGATTCATCCAGTTTTAGGAATAACACAAATGCCTTCTTGTCTAGTTCCGTGAGGCTCCAAATGGCCACCTCAGCTTACAGCTGGTAACGAGCTGCTCAAAGCCTCCGGATCCCATCTCCTTAGAACGAGGGGCTCAGTCTCCGGTTGGTTCACTCTCCAGGAGGCTGCATCTGTTTACAGAACTCATCGAACTGCTGCTGCTCCAGTTCAGTCATGACTCTGTTGAGGGCATAGATCTAATGGAGGAAAGGATGTGTCAGCTACGGAGGCAGCTGCACAGTGTATCTTCAGACACAATGGGCAGTATCAATGGAAAGTGCCAGAACTGCACAAGGGAACAGGAGAAGCAGATATTAATTCCATTTGGGGAATCAGGAAAGAAGCAATGAAGCAGGTGACTTAATCTGGCCTTTAAACAGTCAGTAGAGTTCGAACAGGTAGAGACTGGGGAAGGGGCTTGATAGGTGATAGAGAAAGGAAGGGATATTATGATTAAATAATGAAAAAGTACAGGATTTGTTCTGAAAACTTCAAGTATGCTAATATGAAGGATATTAGAGAGGGGAGTTTGGAGAGCTGGAGAAAGCAAGAAGAGTATGTCAGGGACTTCAATGCCATGCCAAGGAATCTGGACTTTATCTGGCCGACTCTGGACAGCCACAAAAAATAGGTGTGCAGGGGAGCAACTTGATTATATCTGGGCTTTGGAAAGGTAACTGGAGACCATGTGAGGGATGGAGTGGGGTTGGGGAGAGGAGACTGTAGGCCACCTAGGAGGTGAGAACAGGACCCAGGGCAGGCAGTGGGGAAGAATGAAAACTGTAAGAGACAGCTAAGGTGAAAGGCAAGGCCCTACCTTATTCCTCACTTTTCTTTTCTTCTTTTTTTTTTTTAATCCTCACCCGAGAACATTTTTCCATTTTTTGTTCAGGTAGAGTGGGAGGAAGAGAGAGGAACAGAGAGAGAGAGAAACATCGATGTGAAAGGGACACATCGAGTGGCTGCCACCCGCACGACCGACCAGGGCCGGGGACAAACTGCAACCGAGGTACGCGCCCTTAGCGGGAACCGAACCCGGGTCTCTCAGGACCGCAGGCCGACGCTCTAACCGCTGAACCAAACCGGCCAGGGCTCCTCACTTTTCTTTATCCATGCAGTCTTAGTCTGTCCACTAAAGAACAGAAACATCATACAACTTCCCAATTTGTAGAAGGAAAAAAATGAAGGGGTATATTTGTGTATAGGGAAAATAATTTGATTAATTAAAAAGAAGACAAGAAAGGGGCAAAATAAGAAACTGAGAAGTGAGACACATAGAAAATACAAAATAAGAGCAGAATTGATGGAAAAACAGCCAAATGTACAATAGAGAGGATCACCAAAACTGCAAGATGGTTCTTTGAAAATGCTGAAGCAAACCTCCACTATGACTGATCAAGATAAAAAGGGAGGCCCTGGCTGGTTTGGCTCAGTGGTTAGAGCATCGGCCCACGGATCAAAGAGTCGTGGGTTCGATTCTGGTCAAGGGCGTGTACCTCGGTTGCAGTTCGTCTCGGACCCTGGTCGGGGTCATGTGGGAAGCAACCAGTCGATGTGTCTCTCTCACGTCGATGTTTTTCTCTCTCTCTCCCTCCCGCTCTATCTGAAGATAAATAGAAAAATATCCTCAAGTGAGGATTAAAAAAAGAGAAGGCACAAACAAATACTATTAGAATACAAAAACACATAATTACTGATGTAATAGAGATTACAGCAAAACATTATGAACTTTGAGTCAATGTTTGAAAAGGTAAATGAAATAAATTCCTAGAAAGTAAAATGATAAAAACTGATTAGAATAAATAGTAAGCTTGAATGATTCTATGATCTTTTTTTTCATAAAATTTTTCTTATTGTGGTAAGATCCTATAATCTTTAAGGACAACAAAATTCCACAGTGATGAAAATATTTACAAACAACAACACAATGATTCTAAAAAAATAATAATAATGATGGTTAAAATGGTTAAGTTTTATGTTATAAATGAAAACAAATAAATAAATTTGAGTGGTTTAAAAAAGATGGTGAAAGAAGAAAGTCAGACCATAGTAACAAAAGTCAAGTTCAGAAACATGCAAAACTAGATAATACATTCTTACACTACAACATGTTATTTAGGAGTACACAGAAATTATAAGTTGATACAGGATAGCAAGGGAGTGATTAGCATGAAATTAAGGAATGAGGGTACCACTAATGGGAAGGGTCAGGAACATGACCAGAGTGGGGCCCAAGGAGCTTCTAAGTGATTGGTCATGTTCTACTTCTGTAGTTGGGCGGTAGGTACAAAGGTGTTTGTTTCCCTCATCTTGATTAAGCTGCACACACGCATTATTTAAACCTCTGCTTCATTTCACTCACGCTTTAATGAGCATTTGTGATCTGAGCATTACTGTGCTAGGGACTGAGAAGGATATTAAATGGCTTCTTGGAGACCCAGATCAAGGAGACAGGCTGGTAGAAGAAGGGAAAATAAAATGAGCAGAGAAAGAAGAGACTCAAAATGGGTAAGGAGGTCTGAGCCAAGGAATGAAAGACTTTCAAGATGGAAAGTGTCACCAACGGTGTCAAATGCTGCTTCAGCTTCCAAGTGTGCCTTCTGTTCCCATTCACCCTCACATCTCTCATCCACATCCAACTTTCTGGAATGGGGCATCCCAGCAGAAGTGAATAGAAACTGTCTCTTCCTGCCCCCCCACCCCAAGGGGTCTTGTCCTATTTTAGATTATATTCCAGGCAACACAAATTAAGAAAACAGCAAGGCAAGCTATAGGGCAAAGCGCTCTTTGCAGAAGCCGAAGGTCAGAAGATCTGTTTAGATGGCTGACCTGCCCTCCAACCCTCATTAACTAAGGGTTCTGGTCACATCGCTTCACTTTAAAATAAGGAAAATGCCTTTCACCTCACAAAGTCATGCATTTGATATCTCCCTACCTTATTGCAGGAAGGACTTACCAAGGTTAAAATGGGGGTGACAATAAGACCTGTGTAACTAACAATAAGCCCTGGCGTGAGGACTACACATGGTCATGCATATGCAGGTTGGCCCCATGCCTGGCACATCTGAAGGGCTCAACAAGTGCCAGCTGCTGCTAGAGGGCAGCTCCAACATCATATTTCAGCAAGTCAACATAACCACGATCAGCTGTTTGACGCAGAGGCCGCACAGTAACAATGAGCCGACTGCTCGGAAGCACAATTCCTGGTAATAAGTGGGGCCACTCACTGGGTGCTTTCTCTGTGCCAGGCAGTGTGCTAAGTGCTTTCCATGTAACAGTTCTATAAGTCTTGTGAGGCAGACATTATCATCTTCATTTTACCAAGGAGGGCTGAGGAGCAGAGGTTCAAGGAGGACTACAAGTCCAAGGTCACATGGGAAGAACTGGGATTTATGTTTTTGTTTTTTTTTTGTGGTACGTGCCCCGAGCAGGAACCGAACCTGGGACTCTGGCCCACAGGCTGACGCTCAACTGCTGAGCCAAACTGGCCAGGGCAGAACTGGGATTTATGGAAGAGCTGGGATTTGAAGTCAGACAAATAACTCTAACCCATGCAACCTCACCAGAAGGGTGTCAATAAGGACATGAACAATGTCCTCAACAACATCTATCCCTACAGTATGCACAAAGGACAGTTTCTGAGGGCTGCTCCTTACTGCAGGCCTGAAACTGTTCACCAAAGTGCAATGCAGGAAAATTATGAGGGGGCCTGGATCCAGGCCAGGATGGGGAGGTGAAGGAAAGGGGGAACAGTCTGTGAGAGTCCAGGTCCACAGCTCTCACATGGTCTGCCTTGATTCAGAGGTAGATTTCAGTTGACAGATCAACTTCAAACACACATTAAATTTACTTCTCCTGCCCTGGCCAGTTTGGCTCAGCGGTTAGAGCATCGGCCTTCGGAACAGAGAGGCCCAGGTTCAGTTCCCGCTAAGAGCACGTACCTTGGTTGCAGTTTGTCCCCAGTTGGGGTCATGTGGGTGGCACGTACTTTGGTTGCAGTTTGTCCCCAGTTGGGGTCATGTGGGTGGCAACCACTTGATGTGTCTCTCTCATGTTGATGTTTCTCTTTCTCTCTCTTCCTCCCTTTCTCCCTCCCGCTCTATCGGAAGATAAATGCAAAAATTTCCTCGGGTGAGGATAAAAACAAAAAACATTTACTTCTCCTGTTCACTGTCAGCCTCCTGCACTGAATACAAACCCCACAGGTGGGGCCCCTCCCCTGCCTTGTCCCTATATGTATCTCAAGTTCCTACCACAGTGCCTGGCACATGGGAGCAGCTCAATATTTATTTAATGAATGGGTCAGATTAATAAACATTTAAAGTGTGTCCCTGTCAAATGTTGGGAAAGAAGTGAGCAGTGAGAACTCTTACACTGCTGATGCAGGTGCAAACTTGCACAATCTATTTGAAAGCATTTGGCAATGCACAGTAACACCGAAATGTACCCAGTAGTTCTATTTCTAGTTAAATACGCCCTACAGAAATTCTAGCACAGGTGCCAAAAGAGACATTTAAAAGTTTTTCACTACAGTAATGTTTGTAATAGTAAACACAAAACAAAAACAAAACAATAATTTAAATGTCCATCACTGTAGGAATGGGTAAATATACTAAAGTATGTTCATTAAGTAGACTACTATAAGCAGTGATGAGGAATTAACCAGATTCTTATATTAACATAAAATCGTTCTAAAAAACATAATGTAAGCAAAATGCAAAATTAAACATGGAATTTTATTAATGCAAATTTTAAACACCAAAGAACTATATATTGTTCAAGGATATCTATCAATACATTTTAAAGTAAAATATATTAAAAATAATAGTTGCTCAAGGGTAAGAAAAAAGACTATACGAAAAAAATGTACAAAGGGGCCCAGCCAGTATGGCTTAGTGGTTGAGCACCGACCCATGCACCAAGAGGTCGCCGGTTCAATTCCCGGTCAGGGCACATGCCCGGGTTGTGGGCCCAGTCCCCAGTTGGGGGGCATGCAGGAGGTGGCCAATTGATGTTCTCTCGCATTGATGTTTCTATCTCTCTCTCCCTCTCCCTTCCTCTTTCTCTCAAAATCAATAAGAAAAAAAAAAGAAATGGACAAAGGGGACTTTAATGTAGTTATTTATTTAATCCTCACCCGAGGATATTTTTCCATTAATTTTCAGATAGAGTGGGAGAAAGGGAGGGAAGGAGGGAGAGAGACAGAGAGAGAGAGAGAAACATTGATGTGAGAGAGACACATTGATTTGTTCCCTCCTGCAGGACCCCAAACAGGGCCAGGGATCAAACCAAAATCAAGTACGTTCCCTTGACTGGAATCAAACTCGCTACTCTTTGGTCCAAGGGCTGACACTCTAACTGCTGAGCCAAACTGGCCAGGACAAATTTATGTAGTTTTTATTTATCTTATTTAAAAGAGACAAAATGCTAACCACTCCCCATCTGGGGTACTGAGTACCCAGGTGTTTGTTATATTTTATTTTTCTGCATATTTAATTTCTCAAAAAAAAAAGAGGAATGATGAAACAAATAGAAAGAGGGAAGAGTGCAGCAAGCTTTTCCCTGCTTTTGAACACCAAAATAAAATATGCATGTTGGGATGTGGTTCGACCTAAGCAATGTAAATAGTTTAAGCCTTTTATTCACGAATTGATGTTCAAGTGTTGACTGAACAAAGGACACAATGGTGGGGATAGAGCTTGGGCCTCTCCTTCCTGGTTATGAGCTGCGACTCTCCCAGCCCAATACAGAACATCTGTGCTGGGGTGTCTGACACTTGCTCTCTCTCACTCTGACCCCTCCCTCACATGTCCCTTCTCTTTCTCCTTCTTCCTTCCCTTGGTCCCTACTACAAACACTCTGTGCCAGGAGTCATATGGAGGCCAGACACTAACTTGGCATGTGACTCTGGGCTGTCACCATTCTGTACCTTAACGATCATCTCGCTAAACCTGGGAGGACATCCGTTTTGCCTGGAGGCAGGTAGGGCTCCCCATCCCAGTTCTACTATTTCTCTATTCTAGCCTCATCTCCAGCAGACTACAGGTACACAGGCCCCCTCCTCAAACTCACCTCTGCTCTTTGTCTTTGCTTCAGCTCCTGCTGGGCTGATTTCTGCTTGGCCTTCTCAACTCTGCTGACAGGTTCTTTAACTTTGGACTTTTCTTTACGTGCAGGTGGATCCATGACTTGTCTTCTGAGTACTTACTTCTTAGTCAGCTCTCACCTGAATGGTGCAGAAAGAAGGAAAGGAAAGGGGAGAGGGAAGAAGGGAAAAGGAAAGAGACGGAAAGGAGGAAAAAAAAAAAAGAATTGCTAATCATTGGCCTGACTAATCCCTTAGCTCAGCCCTTTCCTTTGACAGGTGAGGCAGGGTGGCCGGATGGAAAGGGCGCTGCATTTAGAGGAGTAAGACCTGACTCCCACCGCCACGACCTCGCTTGGCGTCCCCAGGCACATCTCCCCATTCTAGCCTTAATTTTCTGTCTGCAAAATGGGACAACAGTCCATTCCCCGGCATCCTTCCAAGGCTGCTGCGTGAGGACCAGATGAGAAGACCCATGTGAAAGCATTTCATACACTGGTGCGTGCAGTACCCAACGTGGGGCTGTTTCAATGATCAGGACACCGAGGCCCAGAGGGACGAGCCAGGGCTTTCCCACCTCTGCCCTCATGGGCAGTACCGTCTCGGCCGGCCCGCAGAGGCCCCCGCCCCCGGGCCCGCCCCCCGCCCCCCGCCCCCCGCCGCCCCCCGCCGCCCGGCCCGCCCAGGGCCCAAGCCCGGCCCCAGGGGCCCCTCCCGTCCCACCGCTGCCCACACCGGGTGCAAAATGGCGGCGGGGGCGGGCGGCGCTCGGGGATCAGCACCTTCACTCCCCGGCCTCGGGACGTTGGGGCCCCGCTGCGTCGCGCACACCGGCCGACGAGGGGCGTCCTCGCCTTTCCCTACCTCCAGGCCGGGAGTCCCGATCGGAAGAGTCTCGGATTGGGCGGGGCCGGGGCGGGCCCGCGCGCCCCGAGGCTCCGCCCCCAGGCAGGCCGCGCGTGCGTACACAGCTCGTCTGTGCCACGCGCCGGCTCTAGAGCTGGGGCTGAGCGGTGTAACACAGGTTTTTCCCTGGAGTATTTTCTGGGACAGCTGCTAGACTTTGAGGGATGTGATCTGAAACCTGGGACTAGAACTGTACCTTTTTGAGCCTCAGTTTCTTCTTCTTTTTTTAAAAATAGTTTTTCTTTATTGATTTTAGAGAGAAAGAGAGAGAGAAAAACATCCATGAGAGAACATGGATTGGCTGCCCCCTGCATGCCCCCCACTGGGGATTTGGCCCACAACCTGGGCGTGTCCCCTGACCGGAAATCTAACCGGGGACCTCTTGGTACATGGGTGATGCTCAGCCAGTGAGCCACAAGGGCCAGGCGAGCCTCTGTTTCTTAATTGGAAAATCGGGGATGGTAATTGCTAGCAACTGAGATCCTGTTTACCACAGTAGTTTGAGAAAGAAAATCGTCCACAGTGCAAAAAACAAAAGCTGGTTGTCATTTTTCATTCATTAGATTAAACAAGCATTGAAGAAAGTGGTAGATAAATGCTTTGACAACAGAAATCTGTTCAGTCCAACAACAAAAACAATAATAACCACCTCTCTTCTGGGCTTTAATGTTCCATGCACTGTTCTTAGAACTTCACATTTCTTTCTTTTTTTTTTTTTATCCTCACGGGAGGACATTTTTCCATTTTTTGTTCAGATAGAGTGGGAGGGAGAGAGAGGAGGAGAGAGAGAGAGAGAAACATCGATGTGAAGGGGACACATCGAGTGGCTGCCACCCGCACGACCCCTACCGGGGCCGGGGACCAACCTCAACCAAGGTATGTGCCCTTAGTGGGAACTGAACCCGGGTCTCTCTGGTCCGCGGGCCTACGCTCTAACCACTGGGCCAAACCGGCCAGGGCAAGCTTCACATTTCTTTTTTTTTTTTTTTTTTTAATCCTCACCCGAGGACATTTTTCCATTTTTTGTACAGACAGAGTGGGAGGGAGAGAGAGGAAGAGAGAGAGAGAAACATCGATGCGAAAGGGACACATCGAGTGGCTGCCACCCGTACGACCAACCAGGGCCGGGGACAAACTGCAATCGAGGTACATGCCCTTAGCGGGAACCGAACCCGGGTCTCTCTGGACCGCAGGCTGACGCTCTAACCGCTGAGCCAAACCGGCCAGGGCGCTTCACATTTCTTAACTCGTTATTTCTCATAATAAGTATGTATAATAATGTACACATATAATAATATTCTATTTTTATTCCCATTTTGCAGATAGAGGAACAAAGGCACTGAAAAGTTATGTGAGCCCTGGACAGTTTTGCTCAGCAGTTAGAGCCCCCCATCCCCCCACCACCAGAGAGATCGGGGATTGGTTCCCACTAAGGGCACTACCTCGGTTGCAGTTTGTCCTTCGCCTGGTTGGGGTCCTATGGGTGGCAACCAGTCGATGTGTCTTTCTCACATAGGTGTTTCTCTCCCCACCCCCCTTCCTCCCTCTCTATCTGAAGATAAATGCAAAAATGTTCTTGGGTGAGGATGATAAAAAAGAAAGAAAAGTTAAGTGACTTGTCCAAGGTCACACACTAGTAAATGCCCCAGCAAGTATTTCAGCCAGGATTCTAGAGTATTTCAGCCAGGATTCTAGATAGGACAATGGCTATCCAAAGGAAAACATGTTTAGGCCCACTACTTTTTTCATTTTGAAACAAATAATGGATGCTAAGCAAACAGGGTGTAGCCCAGATGGACACACACATTTTCTTTTTTTTTTTTTTTATCCTTACCCGAGGATATTTTTCCATTTTTTTTTTTGTACAGATAGAGTGGGAGGGAGAGAGAGGAAGGGAGAGAGAGAGAGAAACATCGATGTGAAGGGACACATCGAGTGGCTGCCACCCGCACGACCAACCAGGGCCGGGGACAAACTGCAACCGAAGTACATGCCCTTAACGGGAACCGAACCCGGGTCTCTCCGGACCGCAGGCCGACGCTCTAACCGCTGAGCCAAACTGGCCAGGGCTGGACACACACACTTTCAAATTATAAATGTCACAACCTTTTGGAAATCAGTTTAGTACTACATATCAATAGCCTTAAAAATGAGCACAACCTCACAAAATGACAAATGCTGCATGATTCTATTTATATGAAATATCTAAAGTAGTCAAACTGTTAGATAATAGAATGGCAATTGCCAGGGACTGGGGAAGGGGGGGAAAGGGGAGTTGTTCAGTGGATAGAGTTTCAGTTTTGCAAGATGAAAAAGTCCTAGAGATCTGTTGCACAACAGTGTGACTATAAAAATGATTAAGATGGTAAATCTTAAGTGCCTTTTTTCTTTTACCAAATTAAAAAAAGAGTATAACCTTAAATAAAATAAAATTAAATAATCAGATAGCACTATTCCCAAGAGTAAACACTGGAAATCACCAAAATATTTATAATAGGGTTTGAGTAAATAAATGATTGAATAGCTATCATGGTATTCTATGCAGCCATTAAAATGACATAGAAAAATATTTATTGACATAATAAAATGTTTTTATTATACTAAATGAAAATGTTACAAAGAGGCATGTATAACATAATCGCAATATTTGTTTTATTGTTTTAAAAAAGATTATTATCTACACATTGAAAGGAGGCTGGATGACAACACAGAAAAATGTAAATCCAGATTATTTTAAGAGTAAAGGTTATTTTCATCTTCTTTGTGCTTTTCTCGGTTTTCCAAAATAAACATTTATACTTTAATGCTGATTGAATTATTATTGTTAATAAAAGTAACTAAGCCAGAGTCTGTTTCAGAAATCTTGGCACAGTAGTGGTATTTTACATTTGTGTCATGTTGTATAGTTTATAAAGTTCATATAAATTTTGGATTACATTGCAGCTAAAGACAGAGCAGGGATCTTTGGAAACCTTTAAAAAGCCAACCAAACAGGCTGGATATAGGGTATGTAGGAGTGGAAAAGCCAAACTGGAAGACTGGAAAAATAGTGGAGCCACTGATAAAAGTGAAGGTTGATGTGTTGGCTTGGGAAAGGATGAGGGAAAGGATAAATTAGAGGTGTGTGTGTGTGTGTGTGTGTGTGTGTGTGTGTGTGTGAAAGAGAGAGAGACTTTAGACTTATGTATGGCAATAGGCAGGAGTTGTCCAGTAGTACAGGCTTCAGAAAGGCAAAAGTATAGAGATATTAGTTTGGGATTCTTCAAAGGAAGGTGAAGGTTGGAACCAGGAGGGAGTGAAAGTCCCTTCCCTGTTTTTCCTCCATGAGTTTATGATCTCTCTCTCTCTTTCTCTTTTGTGACCATCAATATACCCTTGGCCAATCTGCAAAATTCCCTGGTAGGTTGAGTCAGAGTTTACATCAACATAAGTATAGAATATTTTTACAGTGGAGGCATATACCACACTAAGATTACATTTACTTTATTGAACAGTTCTCTCTCTCTCTCTCTCTCTCTCTCTCTCGGAGTCAAAAATTGCCTATTTTTAAAAATCTGCTGAATTATTTATGCATCTGTTGTTGATTCTTCCACAAATTCTCCATTAGGACTATAAACATCTCTTGATCTGGTCATATGAACCCAGTCATCTCTCCATGTCTTTTTTTCCCCTTGGGCACACCTTCCTTAGGCCCATCCTCCTCTCCCTTCAGACTGTATTCTTGGCCTCACTGTGCAGCTATTGTCCTAGGACTTCCCCTGACTACATCCTGGGGATTCCCATCTCTTATTTCATATGCCAAATCCCCTGTCTCCTGAATCTTCCGATTTGCGGTTTATTCTCTCACTTTGGAGAGAATAACTTCAGTAAGTTCCCCAGAAGGGGTTCATGAGAGGTAAAATTTTGAAACCTGGCTTGTCCAAAAATGGCTTTATTTACCTTCACACTTGATTGACAGTTTGGTGGGGTACAGATTTCTAGATTGGAAGCCATTTTCCCTCAGAATTTTAAAGGTCTTGGTCCATTGTTATGTAGCTTCTCATGTGGCTGGACTCTTTTGGAGAGAGAGGAAGAGAGAGAGAGAGAGAAACATCGCCGTGAAAGGGACACATTGAGTTGCTGCCACCCACACGACCAACCAGGGTCGGGGACAAACTGCAACCAAGGTACATGCCCTTAGCAGGAACCGAACCCGGGTCTCTCTGGACCGCAGGCCGATGCTCTAACCACTGAGA